ACACATAACAACATAGATGAATCATAAAATAACTGAGTAGAAGACAAAAATTGAGTTCTTATATTTTTCCTCCCTCTCATTTCATTATTTTCCTTCTCTGGGTTTAAATAAAAACACTCTATTTGTCTTCTTTCAGTGGTTATATTTTAAATATGTCTCTATCTTCAGTTCTCACAGTACATGGGCTTTAGAATACTGAAATTCCATTCAACCCCTCCTAATTTAAATGCCATTGCAGGCCAGTACAGCATTGTAATTCTACCTGTTTTGTTTTGTTTTTTTTTATCACAAATTAGACACTATTATTATTATTACTGGTTCCTTCCATCAACATTGGCTTAGATTTATTATTATTATTATATCTTTATTGTTGAAAGTATTACAGATGCCCCCCTTTTTTTCCCATTGACTCCATCTTCCACATTCCCATACCCCTCTTGCCTTTCCCACACTATTGTCTGTGTCCACTGGTTATGTATATATGCACATAATTTCTTTTGTTTATCTCTTCCCACCCCATCTCTTCCCTTCCCTCTGAGGTTCATCAGTCTAACAACCAATTTGTACTTCTTAACGTCTTCCCCTTTTTTACCCATACCCCCAAACCCCTCCCCATCTGGAAACCAACAAAAAATTCTCTGCATCTGAGTCTGTTTCTGTTCTGCCTGTTCATTTGGTTTGTAGGTTCAACGGTTGATAGATATGTATTTATTGCCATTTTGTTGTTCATATTTTTTATCTTTTTCTTCTTCAAGAAGACCCTTCAACATTTCATATAATACTGGTTTGGTGGTGGTGAACTCCTTTGGCTTTTCCTTGTCTAGGAAGCTCTTTATATGTCCATCAATTCTAAATGATAGCTTTGCAGGATAGAGTAATCTTGGTTATAGGTCCTTGCTTTTCATCACTTTGAATATTTTTTGCCACTGCCTTCTGGCCTGCAGTTTCTTTTGAGAAATCAATTGACAGTCTTATGGGAGCTCCCTTGAAGGTAACTGCTTTTCTCTTGCTGCTTTTAAGATTCTCTCTTTGTCTTTAACCTTTTGCATTTTACTTACAATGTGTCTTGGTGTGGACTTGTTCGTGTTCATCTTGTTTGGGACTCTGTGCTTCCTGGACTTGTATGTCTGTTTCCTTCACCAAATTAGGAAAATTTTCTGTCATTATTTTTTCAAATAGGTTTTCAATTTCTTGTTCTCTCTCTTCTCCTTCTGGTATCCCCATGATGTGAATGTTGGTATGCTTGAAGTTGTCCCAGAGGCTCCTTACACTATCCTCATTTGGGGGGGGGGGGATTCTTTTTTCTTTTTGTTGCTCTGATTGAATGTTTTTTGCTTCCTTATATCCCATATCAATGCTTTGCCTCTAGGCTTCACCTATTTGACTATTGATTCCCTGTAAATTATTCTTTATTTCAGTTAGTGCACCCTTCATTTCTGACTGGTCCTTTATTATGTTTTTGAGGTCCTCACTAAATTCCTTGAGTATCCATATAAGCAGTGTTTTGAACTCTGCATTTGTTGGATTGCTTATTTCCATTTCATTTAGTTCTTTTCCTGAAATTTTGTTGTGTTCTTTCATCTGGGATATATTTCTTTGTCTCTTCATCTTGGCTGCCTCCTTGTGTTTGTCTATGTATTAGGTAGAGCTGCTATGTCTCCTAGGCTTCGTAGGGTGGCCTATTATAATAGGTGTCCTGTAGGGTCTGGTGGCCTAGCCTCCCTGATCACCCCAGCAGGACACTCCGTGTGGAATGTACACCCTTCTGCTGTAATTGAGACTTGATTGCTGTTGACATGTCAATGGGAGGGATTTACTCAGGCTGATCAGCTGAAAGGACTGGCTGTGACCACCGATCACTGACCTCTAACCACCTTGGAGGATGAGATGTGCAGGGGCCCACCACATAGAGCAAGACTTATTTTAGCAGGGCTCTGAACCCAACCCTTAAGTTTGTCGCTTGTGGAGGTGTTTGGGTGGTGGCACTTCAATGTTGTCTGAAGTTGTCAACTGAGTATGTGGGCTCTGAGGCCTTCCGGGAGGCATTGGCAAAGGTTAACCACTGCCTGTGTTCTACCTAGGGCCGACAGGCATAAGCTACAAAACTATCTACAGATGGCTGCTTCTTGTGCCGAGCTTGAAGGTGACCAGGCAAGGCCAAGCTGTGAACCAAGGCTGACCGCTGCTAGTGTTGGGCCTGGGGCTACTTAGCAAGAGGTATGGAGCTCACTGAGGCTAGATACTGCTTGTTCGAGAGATTTTAGGAAAATCCAAAGCATGAGCCCAGACAGGTCATTCCTATGGTAAAGCCACTGGAAATAGCTTGGAGAGCCCAACAGTGGGGTGCCTCAGGGAATAAACAGGGTAAGGTAAACAGTGTGAGCCAGTTCAGATATGGCACCCTTCTGCTGGACCCATGGGGGAAGGGCTCACCAAAGGAACAGCAGCCTCCACCAGCACATCTGTCCTGGAGAAAGCTGTCCCTCCAGCTCTCACTCCAGTGCCAAACAACTCAGTTCTTCTCCGTATGTTTCTGGTACCTTTCAAGCTGCTTCCCCTTGCACTGGAGCCCGGTGGGAGTCTGAGTAAGTTTGTGCATGGACCTTTTAAGAGGAACTGCCTAGGACTCCAGAAGCCTCAGCCTCCCTCAGCCTCAGTTATAGCTGGTTTTTACAGCCAGACATTATGGGGATTTCTCTTCCTGGCACTGGAACCCCAACTGGGGTGACTAGTGTGTGTGGGACTTGGACCACTTGCTCCTCCAGGTCCACAGCTGAGGTATCTCTCCTGATTTTAAAACATTTTTTTCTTTATTGACTTTAGAGAGAAAGGGAGAGGGAGAAAGAAATAGAAATATCGATGAGAGAGAACATCGATTGGCCACTTCCTGCATGCCCCCCACTGGGGATTTGGCCCACAACCCGGGCATGTGCCCTGACCAGGAATCAAACTAGCGACCTCTTGGTGCATGGGGCAATGCTTAACCACTGAGCCATAATGGCTGGGCTCTCTCCTGATTTTTATCCACCACATGTAGGTGTGGGACTAGCCCTTCTGTGCCTCCACCGGTCCTACCAGTCTTGATGTGGCCTCTTTTTTAATTTCATCATCATAGGACTTCCATTCAGCTTTATTTCAGGTGGTTCTGAATGACGGTTGTTCTGTAGTTTAGTTGTAATTTTGATGTGATTGTGGGAGGACACAAATACTGTTTACCTACACAGCCATCATGACCGGAAGTTCCAGATTTATTATTTATTCATGTTTTCTTTACTCCCTATTTCTTCTTTTTTTTTTTTTTTTATCCTCACCCGAGGACATTTTTCCAATCCTTGTACAGATAGAGTGGGAGGGAGAGAGAGGGAGAGAGAAACATCGACGTGAGACACATCGAGTGGCTGCCACCCGCACGACCAACCAGGGCCGGGGACAAACTGCAACCGAAGTACGTGCCCTTAGCAGGAACCGAACCCGGGTCTCTCCAGACCACAGGCCGACGCTCTAACCGCTGAGCCAAACCGGCCAGGGCCCTATTTCTTTCATTTGATACCTTCCTTTTAGTACCATTTCATTTGTTCTTGAAGTATACCATTTAGAATATTTTAATGTGGGTGGTGACCTACTGGTTTGTCTACAGCTTGAAAAACAGTAAGATAAGTATCTCTTGTTATTTACCCTGCTTAGTATTGATTGGGCTCCTAAAATCTGTGGATTTGTGTCTTTCATCAATTCTGGAAAATTTTTAATGCCAACTACATCTAGTGCCTCATTTCTAGTCCATGTTTTATTTCTAGAACTGATTAAATAATCTTATAGTCTCTTTTCACTTTTTCCTGCATTTTTTTTTCCTGTTTGCATGACCTTCTATATAGTTTCTTTCTCTTTTTAACTGTGCCTTTACATACTGGTTTAACAAACCATTTACTTTTTTTGTTTGTTTGTTTGTTTGTTAGTCCTCACCCAAGGATATTTTTCCATTGATTTTTAGATAAAGTAGAAGGGGAGAGCAGGGGGAAGAGAAATATCAATGTGAGAAAGACACATTGATTGCAAACCATATAATTAAGTTCTATAAATTATATTTTAATTTCTGATATTCTAATAGATTATTTGAATGTGCCTGGTCACATTTATAATCTATCACTCTTTATTTATGTTTTTACAATCCCTCTATTAATTTATTAAACATATTACACATTTATTTTATGTAGTAGTAATTCTAATAGCTGAAATCTCTGTAGTATTTTTTAGTTTGTGGTTTCTGCTGACTCTTGCTGAGTGATTTCATTCTTTCCCCTTATGTTTTGTGATTTTTTTATATGTGTATGATCTTATTTATTAGAATTTTAACTATAATTATTTGATAATGGGGTTGATAACACCATCCATGGAGGATTTGTGATTATTTCTGCCATATACCAAAGAGCATTACAGACCCAAGTCAATTTTAAGTAAAATTCTCTACTTGTGGAGTTTCAGGAACCATAAAAATACTGTAATTTAAGGCTGCAAATCCAAGTGAATGTGAGCTGGTAACCAGGAATTATTAGGAGATATTTTAACTCCACCTAAGGCTGTAAGTTTCTCCAAAATGGTCTATTTTCAGGCCCCCTACACTCTGCATAACCCGAGGAATTTTCACCAGTCCCCATTCCTCTCCATGTACAAGTTTCTATGCCAACAGAAATTCATGGATGCACCCAAAGTATTCAGGACTTTAGCACTTGGTTACAGAATGTACTTGTTTTGTTTCTAGTTCCAAAAAGTTTCCCTTATTTTCTTATAGGTTCATGCATTTATTGATAGGATTTGTAAAATACTGAATTTAGTATTTTACATATACAGAAACAGAAGTCTATTTAATAAGTCTGCAATTGCTTTGTAAAATTTAAATCAGCGTATTATATTTGTTCCTGATAAATTTAGTTTAGTGTGTTACTGTAATTTATACATCTGTCAAGAATACTTATAATCTTGATTGAATTATTGTATTAGCTTACCTTAGAAGTTGTATGTCATCTGCAAATTCGTTTCAACTCTCTCAGCCTTCACCAAAGTTACTGATCAACACAGCTTCTGAAAAAAAGAAAAAGCTTCAAAATTAATTTTAAAAATCATTACAGCAAATTCACCATATTTTCTTGTTACCCGGTATATAGAATTATAAAATTAAATTTCCATCATAATCTTATACAGATAAATAAAATTAAAATAGAAAAATCTCCCTACCCCAATGACTTCAAGAGGCAGATCTTTTAAAAAGCAGTAGTAAACTGAATGCAAATATTTTATTATCAGGGTAAACCAGCAGAAGTGTGAAGGTGTAGCATGAGAGAGAGAAACTCTAGCACCTCTGAAATCTCCATCAGCCCTCATCTTCCACAGGAGAAAACACAACTAATTTAAACTAGTACAAAAAGACTGCAAAGCCTAGAAGAGCTTTGAAGTGTCACACAGAGTAGCTTTGAAGGGTGTTTTGCTTTTAACAGCATCATGAAAACCCATACCCACTAGTTTTTGTTTTCTGCTTTGTCAAAATTTTAGTTTGCATCCTTTACTAATTTCAGTCATCAATAAAACTTTTGTTAAATTTTAATCTCCACCATCAATATAAGGAGTTGTGTGTCAGTGTGTGTGTTTATATTTTCCCATCAGATTTAAGAGAAAACTTATACTACTCTCCTTTAGTACATTGCCCTTGCATGAAGAAGGATAAACTATTAACTTGGGTCTGCATCTTTGTTTTCTGAGCAGTGACTACAGGTTTAAATAGAACATTTAGCTCTTGATGTTCTTTCTTCTCAATATATGAAGTATATCCTCCAATAATATAGTAGAAAAGGCACAGGCTTTGGAATCACACAGATCTCGTTTAAATCTCAACTTCTCTGAATCTCATAGGGAAATAACATCATGAATCTTTGTTTTTAATTGATTTTTAGAGAGAGAGAGGAAAAGAGAAAGACAGAAACATCAATTTGTTGCTCCACTTATTTATGCATTCATTGGTTGATTCTTATATGTGCCCTGATTGGGGATCAAACCTACAACCCTGGCATATTGGGATGACACACTAACCAGCCAGGGCAAATATCATGAGTCTTAACAGGTAGCAGCAAGAGCCTAATTTTATTTATGTGTGTGTCTATGTATATATATATATATATATATATATATATATATATGTATGTATATATTTGCTATATCAGTATATGTCATATAGCATATACTCTGTTAGCTGTCCTTTTGTGTAATTTTGTACTTCATTTCCACTTTACTCAATCTGTCACAGGACTTTCCAGACTAAATTAAGTTATAAGAAAGTTGATATATAAGTTGATACATCACATAAGTTGGTAAACTTCTATGGCTTTATTCAACAATTACCAACACTTTGCAACACTTATTTTACCCAAAATACATTTTCAAAGACTTATTTTACCCAAAGTATACATAAAATAGTTTTAAAATTAGCAATACAACAACAATAATACTGAATATACCCTATTAAGAAAGCACTATCTATAGTCTATAATCACTAGAAACTGTTCCTTTTCTTGTGTACTGTCATTATAATACTATATAGTTATGTAAATGTTTCAGTTCCTTTTTAGATTTTTCTTTTCTTTTTATATAATTTAATTTTTGAATATGTAAATATATATGATTCCAAGATCGAAACTATATAACAAGTTACACTTAGAGAAACCTCTCTTCCACTGTTGGCACCTCTCCCATTACCTCCTTCTACACATAGATTAGTTTATACACTGTTAATTGCCTTTATTTGTTTCCACTTCATAACATATTCTGCAGACCATTCTATATTGCTACAAGGAAACTTTCCACACCTCTTTATGATTTCTGGGGAAAAGGGTGACTTGAAGGGGATACCATCTACCAGGAGATAGATCCATTGTTGTATGTACATTAATCAGTTCTCTATTAATAGGCATTTTGGTTGTTTCTAAGCTTTTGCTAATACAAGTAATGTTGTAAATAACCTTATACAAATGACAGTTTATATTTTATGCCAGTGTGTTTTTAGAATCAATTCCTTGAAGTTAAATGATAGGTTGATGGATAAATGCATATGACATTTTGCTAGATATTGCCAAATCCCCTCCCAGGCTTTTGTATCCCTACCAGCAATGCACCAAAGTGTCTTTGTCCCTAGTCTATAGAGTATACGGTATAATTTTGGATTTGGGTGAGAAAGGCTTTAGTGTAGCTAAAATTTTTAGTATAACTTTCATTGTACCTCTTTCTGTGTAGTTCAACGTATTTATATGCTATCATCTGCATTTCTTTTTTTGCGAACTTTGTTTTCATCCCTTTTTGCCCATTTTTCTAGTGGGTTGATAGTCATTTGGCTTGATTTTTAGGTTATTTTCATTAAGATTAGTTCTTTGTGGTATATCTTTTTTACTTTGCTCATGGCATTTTCATTATAAAAATTGTTTTAATATAGTGGTATTTAGCTTGGTCGTTATTTTTGGAGGGATTGAGACATAGTTATAAAATCCTTGGCTTACAATTTCATAGACTTTAAATGAAACCCAGAGGAACTTTTCATTATCTTCAAAGTCCAATATTTTTACTAGGACATGACTCAGAGCTGACCATTCTGAATAAATTTTCCCAATACACAACAAGCCTTCTCAATATGTAGATTTAAGTCTTCTGTTACTTCCAGAATGTTTTCATGGATTGAAGTTTAAAGATTAGCTCTACTATTGTTTTTCTTCTTCGGAAGTCTAACTTTACATATTGTCTATATCAATCACTTTCTTTCTCTTTTACCTTTCTTTGTTCAATTTTCATTCTTTTGACTGTATTCATGTCTTTCCTCAATGCTCCTTATATTCAGTCAAATTTATTCTCCTTCAGCTAACTTGAATGTTAGCTGAAGCTTTATTTTAAAAGATTTTTTTTTTAGCCCTGGCCGGTTTTGTTCAGTGGTTAGAGTGTTGGCCCACGGACCAGAGAGGCCTGGGTTCAGTTCCCGCTAGGGGCACATACCTCAGTTGCAGTTTGTCCCCAGCCCCAGTTAAAGTTGTATGGGTGGCAACCACTCGATGTCTCTCTCTCACATTGATGTTTCTCTCTCTCTCTTCCTCCATCTCTCCCTCCCACTCTATATCTCAAGATAAAATGCAAAAATATCCTTGGGTGAGGATAAATAAATAAAATAAAAGATTTTTTAAATTGTTGACAGTATTATAGATGTCCCCCACCCAAGAACTACGTCATACTATTATTTGTGTCCATGGGCTATGCATATATGCATATATGTTCTTTGGTTAATTTCTTCCTGCCCCCACCCCACCCCAGATCTGTCATTCTATTCTATGCATCCAAGTCTCTGGACCTATTTTGTTCATCAGTTTATTTTGTTCATTAGATTCCACATATAAGTGAGATCATGTGATATTTGTCCTTCTCTAACTGGTTTATTTCACTTAGCATACTAATCTCCAGGTCCTCCACGCTGTTGCAAAGGGAAAGAGCTCATTCTTTTTTATATAGTTGCATAGTAGTCCATTGTGTAAATGTACCACAGCTCTTACTTATCTACTAATGGCACTTGGGCTGTTTCCAAAGCTTACCTATTATAAATAGCACTGCTATGAACATAGGGGTGAATATATTCTTTCTGATTGATATTTCAGAATTCTTAGGATATATTCCCAAAAGTGGGATCACAGGGTGAAATGGCAATTCCATTTTTAATTTTTTGAGGAAATTCCATCTGTTTTCCACAGTGGCTACACCAGTCTGCATTCCCAACAGCAGTGTATAAGGTTCCCTTTTTTACACATCCTTGTCAGCACTTGTTGTTTATTGATTTACTGTTAGTCTTCATTCTGGCAGGTGTGAGGTGATAACTCATTGTAGTTTTAATTTGCATCTCTCTGATGATTAGTGACGCTGAGTATTTTTTCATATGTTTCTTGGCCATCTGTATGTTCTCTTTGGAGAAGTGTCTATTCAGGTCCTTTGCCCATTTTTTAATTGGACTGTCTTCCTGGTGTTCAGGTGTATGAGTTCTTTGCATATTTTGGAAATTGACACCTTATCAGATGTATCATTGGCAAATATGTTCTCCCATACACTGGGTTCCCTTTTCATTTTGTTGGGGTTTCTTTTGCTGTGCAGCTTTTTAATTTGATATAGTCCCACTTGTTTATTTTTCCTTTGTTTCTCTTTCCCTAGATTGTATCAGTGAAAATACTGCTACGTAAGTAACATGCCTGAGATTTTACTGTCAATGTTTTCTACTAGGATTTTTATGGTTTTGTGACTTACATTTAAGTCTTTTATCCATTTTGAGTTTATTCTTATAAGATTTTTTTCCCTTCATTTTATTTTCTGAGTTCAATAAATTCACTTTTCATATCTTCCTCTTTTTGTGAACTTTTGGGGATTCTAAATATGTATATGAGACTTTGTCTATGAAAATATTTGTTTAAGGATATTTATTTTGGGTCAGAGTATTGTTCTATAGTTTTCTTTAGCTCTGTAATTGAATGTTTTGGGGAGGACTTCAACTGCAGTATTTTGACTCTCATTTTATGTTTCCTACTTACAGTAACTTCACATGGATATTGTATACCATTTTCTGTTCATTTTGAGTGTTTTATTTTCCTAAACCACATAACAACAGTACATAAACAAGAGTGAGGGGTATGGAAGAATTAGTGGACTTTTTAGTTCAACAGTGCCTTCTGCTGGTATGATAAAGAACACTTTTTTTTTTTTTTTATCCTCACCTGAGGACATTTTCCCATTTTTTTGTTCAGACAGAGTGGGAGGGAGGGAGGGAGGGAGGGAGGGAGGGAGGGAGGGAGAGAGGGAGAGAGAGGGAGAGAGAGATAGAGAGAGAGAGAGAGAAACATCGACGTGAAAGGGTCACATTGAGTGGCTGCCACCCGCACCACAACCAGGGCTGGGGACAAACTGCAACTGAGGTACGCACCCTTAGCAGGAACCAAACCTGGGTCTCTCTGGACCACAGGCCAACACTCTAACTGCTGAGCCAAACCGGCCAGGGCATAAAGAACACTTTTTAAAAT